TGACCCTCCAAGTAGACCTTAAGCCGCGCCCAGAGTAACCCCAGACCCCTTAACAACAGGTAAATCTACAAACATATTGGGTACGAAATCCACTTTTTCAGGCGAGAAAGCTATTGTACAGGCATCTGCAAAGTGCTCAGGGTTTAGCGATTAGGGTCGTAAAGGCATTCATCTAGGACCTTGAGGATTGTGAGCCACCCTAGAAATGATTTGGACATAGTGGAGATAAGTTTGGTTCTAAGTTCCATCAGCTGTAGTTGTGACACCTACATGTTGGTTATGTACCCTACACCCTGAACCCCAAACCCTACAACCTATACCCTGAACGCTAGGCGGCCCCACCCTGTAGTGAACAGCTCTTTCTTGTACAATGAGCCATAGTCAACTCCGAGTACCCCCCCTTCATAACCCCTATGCTACTCCCCTATGTATTCCCTATATCACACCCACTTTAAAAGTTTACACTCTAAACCCTGAGCCCCAAACCCTAAGCCCTAAACCCTTAACCCCAAACCCTAATCCCTAAAACCCAAACCCTACACCCAACAGAATCCCCTATATAAACCGCCATTAAGGAGTTTAGACCATAGCTCAATGGTACCTCGGTGTCTTCTCTGATGCAAGGAAGTAGGCTGTTCATGACGAGTAGACCCGGAAACTTTTTTGAGCATTTCTATACCAAGAGCCCTAGAACCAATATCAGAACCAGAAGGCCTAAACACTTTTAACCTAAGGACCCAAGGAGCCAAATGATGGGGTTTCAGGCCCCAAACACTCTAATATTCGTGGTATTTCGGGTAAAAACCTATCATTTGGGTCCTTGGACCCTGACCAAATCCTACATGAACAGTCACGGGGAGTAGCCTGCAAGCCACGTGCTGCACCCAGTTACTAGTGCCCAGTAACCACCCTAAACCCTAAACCCTATAATCCCTACCAACCCTACCAACCCTACAAACCCTATAAACCCTAAACCCTTAAGCCTAAACTCCCCCACATCATTTGTTAGACAGCTGAAGGCCAGGTGACTTGACCAAAGCACCCGCCGAAAACATCAGCTGCAAAGGCCTTTTCCTGATCTCATGATTATAGGGTTTAGGGTTTAGGGTGTAGGGCCCTAAACCCATAATAACTACGATGGTATGCTGTTATCATACATTTCAACATAAATGGCTCAAACTGCAGGCAGAGAGACCATTCAAAAACCTGCCAAAAAGGGAACAAAGGCACGAGCCGCTCAGGGTACTTCGTAGGTACGATCTAAATGAGGCTATAAGTCACCAACGATTCGCAGAATCCTTGGCCATCAAGATGTTCGTGCTCAGCTTGGCCGTTCTGATGACGATGATGATTGAGCCGCTGCATTTGATTGGTTATCGCCCGCCCTGCCAGTCCTTTTGCAAAGATGGCCAGGGCTTAACGGGTTCTTAAAGTAGTCGTAGCTGCCACGTCCCTCTTGAACGTGAAGTACAGGGGCGGACAAAAGCGGCTCCTGACGCACATCAATCAAGTCGCCAACCTGAAGCTCTTCTTGGTCCAACTCAACGCGGCACGAGCACAGCTGCGACAGCAGAAAACCACAAGTTCGAATTTCAGCCGCTTCACCCCTCTTACCGATTGAGGGTTCAATCCCAGGCATGCTTTCATGACGCGCAGGCTGAAATGATTGCACAAACTGGATCTTAAATTGTGTGCCCCGCTGCGCAGGAGAGTCTGGGCAAAAAGCTTAGGGCTTAGGGAATAGTTATTAAGATGTAGGGATTAGGGAAAGGAAGTGTCGGGGTGTCCGGTCTAGGGCTTGGAAAAGTGAGGACTGAGGCTTTGGGGCCGAAACGGCTCCTCTCGCCCGAACAGAGGATTGCTATTGGGGTTTAGGGTTTACGGTTTAGGGTCAGCATCTAACCATGGTGCCTTCAGAGTGCTCAGGAGCCCACTTTACCAGCATGTCAGCATAAAAAATTACAGCCCCAGGATGTGAAACTAAACCATAACCTAAGAAGCGTGTAGGGTGTAGAGACTAATCAAGAGGTCTGCAAAAATTTAGGCTCCCAGCCTATCAAACTCTAAGAATCCTTGGGGTCCCATGTAGCCCCCTTCCCGCACACCCATTAGAAGCCCCCTGAACTCTAAATCGAATAAACTCTCAGACTCTAACCCTGAGGCACCGAATAACCCAATCTAGGTACTACTTCTACGGGACTTTCGGCCCAAATGCAAGTATTATTCATAGACGTCGAACCCCAAACCTAACCCTAAACCCTAGACCAAAAACCAGCGTAAAGCCACAAGATGATAATTGCGGCATGTCTCAGCCTCATCCACAGCGAAAGCCATGTTTGACCGGCTTTCCATGGGCTCATGAGGGTGGTGCTTTCTCGAAAGTGAGTGTGTAGGGCTTTGGGCTTGGGGTATCTGGAGTTTAGGGACTCAAAAGTGAGTGTGTATCTAGACCCTCCTCCTACCCTCAATCAGGGCCTAAGTACCCACTATTAGGGACCATATATCCCCAATTAAGGGTACAAGGAGGGTCCTGGTAGGGTTTTGGGCTTAGGGTATCTGGAGTTTAGCGAGCTGGGAGTTTAGTACTTGGGGATTATGGTTAAACTTTTCGCCTTTTGAGTTTCTACACAGTGCGTGTAGGGAGGGTGTGTAGATGCCGGTTATTTGGAGGGTCAGGGGGACGTAGTAAGTAGGTTAATAATCCCTATAACCCATATAGTAACCCTAATTATCCCCGTTATTAACATACTTATTAAGTCCCCCTGACCCTCCAAGTATATACTTCGGTGCATTTCGACCGTGACGAGTAGGATCACTTCTAAGCTTTGGACCCGAGAGATTTTGACTATGTAGGGGTTTTTAGGCGATTTTGATGCTTAGGGTTAGGAATTGCAGCATTATGCGACCCCTACGTGGTGCAAAACGCTCTCCGTGGCTCCAAATTCATGTCAAGGTTTACTTTGGCAGGTTGTTAAACTCACTGACGCTTTTTGGGGGGTACCTTCAGGAGGATAACCCCTGACACCCTGACCCCAAAAAATCTTAATCCCTGCACCTCAACACTAAACCCTCGAAATTGACATCGTCTCATATGACAAGAAAGCTTGTTTGTCTGGTTTCTTTCACATTCCAAGACAGGTGCCCCTCGGTAGATGCCACTAGGACCTCCCTCATAAGATAATATTCCTTATATAAAGTACTATAGTTACTATAGCCCAAAAGGAGAGTATAATCTTTCTCCTACAATGGCTACCATAGTACCCCCAAACACAATACTACTCAGATGAAACGGGTTAGTGCTGTAGACAAAAACCTTGTTCTGTGCTACGGAATCCTGGCCCTAACGCGGCTGACTCCTGGGAGGGAGTAGCTTGCCTTGGTTAGCTAGGAATGAAGGAATGGATCCTTATAGCAGTCCCTATATAACCCATTGTAGTAGTTTCCATTCTCTCTTCCGCTCTTTCATTCTCAGCTAATCAAAGGTGAGGTAGGTATTTCCCTAAACCCGAAACCCTATTCCATGGCATTTGGAGGTGGGATTTCAGCCAGCCTTTAGAGAGCTGAACCCAACGCCGCAACCTAAGGTTTAGTTAGGGCTTAGGGCTTAGGATTTAGGTTTTAGGGAAGACCTTCCATCCAGAGTATTGAGCGTTGAGGGTTTAGGGCTTAGGGGTCTAGCGTTTAGGGAAGGCCTCTAACCTGCTACCTGAGACATGCAAGGTATACGTACACTGTATTCAGGAACTCTTCAGTTTAGGGTTAATGGTTAAGGGTTTAGAGTTCAAGTTTAAGGTTTAGGGCTTCAGGGGTGAAGGTTAAGGGGTCAGGGTTTAAGGTTTAGGGTTTAAGGTTTGTATGTATTGAGGACCCTGACAGCCCAAGCGCCTATATTCCAAATATTTGTGCGCCCCAAGTTTATATACTACTGCTGAAACGAAAAAATCCTGCATGACCTTGCTATATTGTAGTACCATAACTCCCAAGGTAAAAGATACCTAGGTTTATGCAGGATTTTTAATATCCACCGTATTTACCTGATGGACCCAGAAAGTCTACCGTGCACAGCATGCTAGAATCATCCTTTTCTTTTCCATCCCCAATACACCCCTGTATTGTAACCCCTAAACCCTAACCCTTTCAAGGGTGAGATTTCATCGTTGGGGGGAGGTTCCTCTTCCGCATCCAGCTGTAAGAGTTGAAAAAAAGAATTTGATGCAAGCCTATCAGGCAGCGATAGATTATAAAGCTTTTAGGATTTAGGGTTTAGGGTTTAGGGAACCTATTTCTAAGGTGTCTCTCAACGGGCACACGAAGGATGTCTAGTTCTTGATGTATGGGACAGTTCAGTTGTTAGCTATTTGACCTGGCGTTCACGCCGACAACTTTGCCGTCACATACCTCCAGCACCACAAGCTAAATCTGGATGAGCGCTGGGGCTTGGAGACTTCAGTTCCGACATTACAAATGTTGCGGCTGGAAGTCCCCCCTTAGTTCCATAGAGTTCTTGACATCCCTGATGATACCTTGGGTTTGACCCATTGCTTTCCCCATGTGACTTGGGGGCAGAGTACATGCTAGACCCTTACATAACACCTAGTACTCACCTTACCCTAAATTGCGATCACAGCAACAACCCACGCCATTTGACTTCTTTCTGTCCAAGACACCCTTCTTTGTCCTTGGTTGATGCCGGGGGTCACAAAACAGGGGTTCACATTCAACTCGTCCTGGAACTAGAATGTAATGAGGCGGGTAGATTTGCCAGCTCTCAGAAGAAAAAAAGGATGCAAATGGTACGCCCCAAACATTTGCTAAAGGGGGCTTGAAACTTTTGACACTGAAGCCAACACCCTCAACAACAGAACGCTGAGCCCTGTATGAAGACACCACACGCTCAACCCAGTCTGACAAACCAGGTCGTGTCGGCATGACTACTACAGTATTCAAACGTAATCCCTGCATGAGTGCATCAATCTCCAACATACTAAGCGCACAACTATTGAACCCTCGACACGGATGAACCCTAAAACCTGAAACCTTAGGCGGGCGAGGCAGCAGCAGCCACAGAAGGATGAGGAGGAGGAGGAGGAGCAGCAGCAGCAGGAGTAGTAGTAGTAGTAGTAGTAGCAGTAGTAGTAGTAGAAGTAGTAGTAATGGTGGGAGGGGAGAGGAAAGATTCAGGGAAATCCCTTCACCAACGCTTCAGTTCTACGCTTGATCCTAAAGTCATACTCTAGGGTTTAGGGACCAGGGTTTAGGGTTCGTAATAAAATTCCTACATGACCCTAAGTGCCTGTACCCAGGAAATTACGACTGTAGTGCACCAAGGTCATGCAGGAATTTGTCTACTAACAGTATCAATGCCCGAGACTCTCCCTGCTCTGCAGCCTTCATGAAGTATGTGGCAGCCTCCAGTAAGCCAGGGCGGGGGAGGGGGAGGAGCGCAGTGAGAATGGGTGCCGGTTACAGAAAACTTAAAACAAGTCAAACAAACATTCGCAGATGGAGTCTTTCAAAATAATGCCGTGTACTGCAATAATCTATGATGAAGCACTGTAACGCCTTATCTGCATTGGCGTCAGGCTGCAAATAGGACAGTGTTGAGTGTAGGCTTAGCTTTGACGGCTACAGGCTGAGCATGCAGGGTCTAGGATGGGGCTTAAGAGTGCGGCTATGGGCCTATGGGATCACTGGAATTGTGTACTTTCAGAAGAGGATTCGGCAAATGAAGTTCTCTGTGAGAAAATCCCATGAAACAATGCCTCGTGTTTAGTGTCTATAGCCGCAAGGGTCCAAGGTCCCAAATAATGGGGCTTTAGGGCCCAAATACGACTAATATTACGTATAGTGTTTGGGGCCTAAAGCCTTATTACTTGGGTCTTTGGACCCTTAAGGTAAAGGGTTCAGCGTTTACAGTGGAGACCCTTTGGCCATCCATTCTATAATGTTAGGGTTATTTAAGGCTACATTAGGGTGAAACTGGGGTTATATAGGAATAATGGAAAATATAATGGAAACTACTATGATATTAGGGTTATATTGGGGTTATATAGGGATAATGCAAGAGAAAATGG